GGCAGTAATACCGCAGATCGTCACTAGGAGGCGAGGAACCGAGATAGTGTGATGTGTAAACGGTCATCAGAACCGAGCTCGGCCTGGTTCTGATCCGAGCTCGGACCGGTCTCGGCATGGATCGGTTTTTCAAGGGTAGTGGAAATGATTCAAAATTTTGAATCAGTTAATGTTTATGCCCTCTACTATTTTAAAAGTAATTTAAACATATGGTGATATATATCGTTTATCACAATTATAGCCCAGATATGTCATGATTTCCTTCACACGGCACAGCCCTACTTCACGGTCATCAGTAGTAGATGGAGGCCAGTTACCTTTCGGATGCCAGTACAGGTGAGTGTTCGCCACACACACCTTCCTGCCAGGCTTCTCTAGGTCCTCCAGCAAACTGACCTGCAGGTTAAAGGTCAGTTAAAACAGCCCATGGTTGACCTTCAGCCCAGAAATGTCAGAGGTACCTGCAGCGATGTGGATCTCTGCAGGATCTTGTCCTTCAGACCGCCATTGGCAGAAACCTTCTCCAGCAGCTCAGAGTGGGCGGGATCAGACGCCAAGGCCTCGCTCAGCATGATGTCATGGCGGCTGAGCAGGCGAAACTTTGACCTGAAACACAGCAGGAGGGGGGTGGGTGTTACCGGTGGGGCCGAGCGAAGAAAACAAACCGCTGGTTCCACCTGTTCAGTGAAACAATGGTAAAAAGAAACGATTTCTAAAAAGCAAATCTATGTAGAAGGCTGGAATACTGAGACCAAGATGGAGGAAACTTAAATGAGTAACCTGCGGTAGAAGGTAGCCAGTCCTTCATGCTGCTTCTCTTTGAGCCTGAAGACGCCGTCCAGACCGTAAGCATCCAGAGCCGGACTCAGACTGTCCACAAACACGCCTGTAAGGGTCCAGAACGACCAGAAAACAACTTCAATTCAATATTAAGGGTCATTCAAAGACAGAAAAAAAAGGAATTAAAATGTTCGAGTTTAAAGTAAAAAAAACCCACAAATTTACTAAATTAAAACATACAAATATAACAGAAAAAGTAGCAAATTAACAGAAAACAAAACATGCTAATTTAGGAGAAAAAGGAAGCAAATTTGCAAGATTTGAATATGAATATTTGTGGACCAATGCAAGATTATAAAACATGTTAAAGTTAATGTATGCTACATAAAGCACATGCAAATACACCATTAATTGGAGGCCTAAGCAATGGAATGAGACGCTACAATGGCCTCCGGATGGAAGTTTTTAAATTAAAAATGAATGATACAAGAAAACTGCATGGTTATAATCTCGTAAATTTGCATGTTTTATTCAGCAAAGATCCTGCTACATGGCTGTACGTCTTATTTTGGCATTTGACCAATTAGATGAGCCCTTGAATGATGTATTACCTGCTGGAAATTAAGTTGGAAAAAAGTTAACAAGTCAGGAAAAAAAAGGTAAAAAGCTAATTGAAACTTTAAAAAGTTAATAAGCCTACTTAACAATTATATTTAGGTTTATAAACTAAAAAAAAAATGTAAGTGCCAGTATCAGCATCAATGCCTCAGAGTGTTTTTCGTGAATTTCTTCTAGAAGCACATTTGTTATTTTTCTTAATATATTCGGGAAAGTTGACGTTTTTGCCATTAAAATATCTAGACTTTTTGAAGTTGTGTTTTTATGCTATGTTTTTTAAGTTATGTTTTTTTAAGTTATGTTTTTTTATGCCATGTTTTTTTAAGTTATGTTTTTTTAAGTTATGTTTTTTTAAGTTATGTTTTTTTATGCCATGTTTTTTTAAGTTATGTTTTTTTAAGTTATGTTTTTTATGTTTTTTTATGTTATGTTTTTTAAGTTGTTTTTTAAGTTGTTTTTTAAGTTATGTTTTTTAAGTTATGTTTTTTAAGTTATGTTGTTCTTTATGTTATGTTTTTTAAGTTGTTTTTTAAGTTATGTTTTTTTAAGTTATGTTTTTTAAGTTATGTTTTTTATGTTATGTTGTTTTTTATGTTATGTTGTTTTTTATGTTATGTTGTTTTTTAAGTTATGTTTTTTAAGTTATGTTTTTTATGTTATGTTTTTTATGTTATGTTTTTTTATGTTATGTTTTTTTAAGTTATGTTTTTTTAAGTTGTTTTTTTAAGTTATGTTTTTTATGTTATGTTTTTTTATGTTATGTTTTTTTAAGTTATGTTTTTTTAAGTTGTTTTTTTAAGTTATGTTTTTTATGTTATGTTTTTTTATGTTATGTTTTTTTAAGTT